AAGGAAGGAAGGAGGGAGGGAAGGAAGGAAGGAATTTCCCTAAGAAAGAGGTTTGCAGGATGATGGACAGGAGGCAGCAAACATGTTGATGCATGCATTTCAAATGTTGGAGGGAAGCTGTCTGTTTTGTCCATAGGAAATATTTGTCCCACAGCACAGCCAAAATACAGCTGGTGAGATTTACTAGACTCTGCTGCTGGGCCCACTCCTGGAGTTGAAGTGTTGGGGTCCATGGTGGGAGGTGTGTACATCATAGGGGATCTTCAGCAAATCTGTGACCCAGAAATCCAGTGTCCCCTCTCCTCATCTACAAAGCAACCCCCTCCTCAGCATTTCTTACCTGAAACCAAAATTACACTCAGAAAATTCAAAATAGGTTCCCTCCGCGGATTGCAACGCCCTACCAAAACAGTGTCACATCTGTTAATTCCATAAATGCTGTTCTTGGCTAAGCATAAACTGCTTATAAGCATAATCTCATTGCTCTTCATAACCTTTCATTTGTGTCTCTGCAGGTAGCCAGCTGCACATGTCAAGTCAGAGTTTGAATTGCACGTTAGAATCCACCTGCCGATTGCCCCGGGAGGAGATTTCGGAATTAAAGCCCCTGGAAAGTTAGATGCCCATGATCTCATGAGCCTTCTGTGCTGTGCAAAGACCAAAGAGCGCAGCTAAAAGCCACCCGTGCACACACTTAAACCAGTTAAGATCCTTTTTATTTAAAATGATTATAATTAAGAGGACAGTCCCTCAGTATAAGAGACTTGGGTTCTGTGCCTAATTCGGTCAGTCGCCTTCGTCCTTGTCATCTCCCTTCTCTTCTCTCCTCCACCATCTGAGGACCTGAGCCAATGGCCCTGCTTAGCTTTCCCTGGACACCAACCAGTTCGTTGGTCACTAGGATTTATTAAATGCCTCTTATGGGGCAGGTGCCCAGAAAATAGTTGCTGCCTTAGGCAAGCATTGGCTACCTGTTCACACCAACTTTTCCTCCTTCCTTCTGGGCGCATAGCTAAGTCACCTTTCATAGCTTGCCTTGCAGCTGGGACTAAGTTCTGGTTAGATAACATGCCAGTGTCATCTAACTGGCGAGGCCTAGGGAGCCCCTCTGGTCCTCCCACAAGTAATCAGTAATGTGGGCAGGAGATGTTGGAGCCACAGGGTGGAGGGATCCCTGAGTCGCCACATGGAGCAGAGCTGCTCACGTCAGGAACAGACACTTTGTACCCAATGAGGCTTCTTTTGCATTTAGTGGCTAAAATTGGGGTTTGCCTGTTACTGCAGCTGCAGTTACGTTAACTTGCAGACTGTCTCTGCCGTAGGTCATGGGATCCTCCTTAACCGTCTGTGGGAGGCATGCAGGCTTGTGAGCCATCTTTCAGTCACCCAGTGTGCCACGTGCAAAGACACAGATTGAAGTCTGGAAAGGAAGATGGAAGCCACGTGATTTTCTACTTCTTTTTAAGCTTTCGAATATAGTCTAAGACTTGTTCGCCTCGCCCTTTAAAGGACTGGAAAAGCATTTTTGTTTTTTGGGGTTTTTTTCTTTTTTTTTTTTGAGATGGAGTCACACTCTGTGGCCCAGGGTGGAGTGCAATGGCATGATCTCAGCTCACTGCAACCTCTGCCTCTCAGGTTCAAGCAATTCTCCTGCCTCAGGCTTCTGAGTAGCTGGAATTATAGGTACCCAACACTACACCCAGCTAATTTTTGTATTTTTAGTAAAGATGGGGTTTCAGCATGTTGGCCAGGCTGGTCTCGAACCCCTGACCTCAAGTGATCCAACCTCCTGGCCTCCCAAAGTGATGAAATTACAGGTGTGAGCCACCACACCCGGCCATGGACCGGAGAAAATCTTTAAGGCTTCACAACCTAAGTTACAAAACCAGGAGAGATCTTCGGCGCCCAGTGTGACAGCAGAGAACAGAAAGAGGGACGCCTGCATTGGCTCGTTCCACAACAGCCACTGTCACACGAGCAGGGCCAGCCCCGTTCTCAGACAGGCGATGCCTCTTCTGCCACCTTCCTCATCACAGGGCAAGGTCCCATCAGATGTCCCCATGGCCCCCAGCTCTGTCCACTCAGCTCAGCCATCACTCAGTAGAGTCTGAAGCTGAGGACTCGGCCTTGGACCATCTGCCCCCAGTTTGCACAGGCTCTGTCTCTCTTCCATATCAGCTGTTCTTTTTTAAAATTTATTTTCATTGAGGTGAAACAGACATACGTAATCCGCCATCTTTATCACTGTTCCGTGTACAGCTTGGTGGTAATAGGTGCATTCGTATTCTTTCTTTTTCCCTTCAGGCCCTCTCGCCTTCCCCTTCTCTGGTGACGCCCATTCTCCTCTCCTCCCCCTCCATGAGACCCAGCTCTTCAGCTCCCACGTAGGAGTGAGAATCTGTGACACTTGTCTTTCTGTGCCTGGCTCATTTCGCATAAAATAATGTCCTCCAGGTCCGACCAGGGTTCTCCTGATAACAAGATTTCATCCTTTTTATGTCTGGATAACACTCCCTTCTGCATCTAAACCACATTTTCTTTAGCCATTCATCCAGCAATGGACCCTGAGGTGGCTCCCTAATCTTCGCTATCGTGACTAGTGTTACAGCAAACGTGGGTGTGCAGCTCTGTCTTTGATAGGCTGGCTTCTTGTCTTTGGGGTACGTACCCCGCAGTGGGATTGCTGGATCCTCTATCTCTGTTTTCACTTTAGTTGTTTTGCTTTGTTTTGTTTTGGAGCTGGGTTCTGGCTGCGTCGCCCTGGCAGGTCTTGATCTCCTGGGCTCAAGCAATCCTCCGTGTTGTTCTCCACAGTGGTTGTACTAATTTACGTTCCCACCAAGAGTGCACAAGGGAGCACGAGGGTTTCCTTTTCTCCACATCCTCGCCATGGCAGCTCCCCTAAGGACATACAGGCCTCTACTGTTCTTGCCACATTCATCTGATCAAAACCCGCATGCAGGCAGGTAGCAGGACGGGCCTCAAATGCGAAGATGACTGACAGCTGCAACTCTCACTAGCACCGTCCAACCCTCACAGAGCACTGAGGAATCCCCTGGTCAGGGCCCCTTGTCATGCAGAGGAGAAAGCAAAGACCCAGGGAGAGAGGCCAATTTGGCAACCTGGCGAGCAATGGTGGGCATGAGGCCAGAACCTGGATCTCTTCCGCTGCATCCCTTACCCTCCCTCTCCCAGAGGGAGCAAATCATGGTCATGCCACTGCACTCCGGCCTGGGTGACAGAGCAAGTTCCTGCCTCAAACATAGAAAGAAGGGAGATCAGAAGAAAAGAAAGAGACAACAGGAAGGAAATAAGAAGAAAAAAGAAAAGAAAGAAAGAAAAAGAAAGGAAGGAAGGAAGAAAGGAAGAAAGAAAAAGAAAGAAAGAAAGAAAGAAGAGAGAGAAAGAAAGAAAGAAAGAAAAAGAAAAAAAAAAAGAAAAAAGAAAGAGGGAGAGAGAGAGAAGAAAGGAAGGAAGGAGAAAGAAGGAAGGAAGGAAGAAAGAGGGAGGGAGGCAGGGAGGGAGGGAGGGAGGGAGGCAGGGAGGGAGGGAGGGAGGGAGGAAGGAAGGAAGGAAGGAAGGAAGGAAGGAAGCAAGGAAGGAAGGAAGGAAGGAAAGAAATCCTGTATCTCTATAAGACTATACCCAGCCTTGGGAAGTCCACCAGATTTACACAGCAAGGGACAAGATTTGCCCCTAACTGTTTCAGGAATATCAGATGAAAAAAAAAAACAAACCACATTCCTTAAGCAGCCACTACGTGCCAGCCAGTGATCTAAATATTGAAGACAGGGGTCACGGCAGGCTCACAGCTTTCAGTGGCTTAAGGAGCAAAAGTGAGAGAAAGGGGAGAGAGGGAGAGAGAGAGAATATATTAAACTAGACACATTCATTCAAACAGCTTTATGCCAAAACCAATTTGGGATTTTTGTTACGTGTTTGAACCAATTGCCTTGACATCCTGCAGATACATCAGGCAGGCTGGTGTTCTCCGTGCTTGAGGACATTTCATCGTCAAGGTCTTCTTTAGAACCGTCAAAGTGCCCATCGTTTTGATGAGGAGCTGGTTCACCTTTTCTGTTGTTTGCTGGAGTGAAGGGTGGTGCCTCTTCCCAGCCCTTCCCCATCTGAAAAACGAGGGGCAGTCATCAGTTTCTTAACTACACCCAGGTGCCTCTTTCCCCTCTCGATGAGGGAGAGCAGGTTCATCCTGTCCCATAGCAAACTTCCGCTCTACTATATCCTCCCACCTGCCCATTTTCGGCCAACACTAAACTTGGACGTCACACCTGAACTTGGGCGTCACCTAGATCAAAGCCAGAACAATGCTGAGCGGTGCAGAAGGGCCTGGATCGGAAGCCCAGCCCAAGACCTGGGGGAGTTATCTGTGGCTACACAAAAATCATAAACGTAGACCGTGCACGCCGCAATACCCACAGTTTTTCTCTTCTCCACTGAAATGTGAAAATCCTCGGGGAAGTCTGAACTGTGTGACTCTCCAAAGGGCACATGCAAAGCCTCAACTAAAAAACTTGTGACAAATCCTCGCTCTGCACGGTGAGGACAGCCACCCAGCATACGCACACAGGGACAACTCACCCTACATACGTGCCCCTTACACCCACATACCGGAATACTATGAGGCCCCCGAGCCCAACTGCTTATTAGCCACATTTTCTGTATTTGTCATTTGCCCTCTAACACAGTGATGCATGAAGTGTGACATTATAATGCAATCAGCATTAATGTTTGCTATGGTTTGGCTGTGTCCCCACCCAGATCTCATCTTGAATTGTAGCTCCCATAATCGTGGGAGGGACTCAGAGGAGGTAATTGAATCACGGGGGCGGGTCTTTCCCGTGCTGCTCTTGTGATGGTGAGTAAGTGTCACCAGATCTGACGGTTTTATAAAGGGCAGTTCCTCTGCACACACTCTCTTGCCTGCTGCCATGGAAGGCATGCCTCTGCTCCTCCTTCACCTTCTGCCATGACTGTGAGGCCTCCCTAGCCACGTGCAACTGTGAGTCCATTAAAGCTTTATTTCTTTATAAATTATCCAGTCTCCGGTATTTCTCTATAGCAGTATGAAAGTCAACTAATACAACTGTATTCAGGAGTTCGGAAAAGTTTAATGTCTCTCTATTTATGACATGCATAACAGATGTTTCTTTCATCTAAAGCAGAAAAACAAAACAACCCCATGATAATTCACTAGAAAATATTAAACATGAATAAACTATACTAATGGAAGCAAACATGCCTTGCATGAAACACACGGCAAAGAATTTGGTACTAGAACCGGGGAGTGTAGCGGGCACAGCCAGCTCACCATCATCAGAAAGCTGACTCCACTTCATCACTTTAGTTTTGCTGGGGCATTTAAATGTCATGTGCTTTTTTTTTTTAACATAAAAAAGTGTTATCTAAATTAAATCTGTACTGAGAATATATCAGAGTCTCCTGTGAGGTCCATGTGTCCCCAGGCCAGCTCACCCTTCTGCCTGAGGACTTCCACTGAGTGATGAGATTTTACAGGTGCCAAAGTGAGTGTTCATTGGCACAGGCATTCCGTGTTAAGGACAGCAGGGCTCTCTCAGCTCTGCTTGGTGCTTTTTTTTTTTTTTTTTTGAGACAGGGTCTCATGCTATTGCCCAGGCTCCAATGCAGTAGGAAGATCTTGGCTCACTGCAGCCTCCACTTCCCAGGCTCAAATGGTCCTCCCACCTCAGCCTCCCAAGTAGCTGGGACTACAGGCGGGAGACACTGTGCCTAGCTAATGTTTAGTTATTTTGTAGAGACGAGGGTCTCACTATGTTGCCCGGGCTGGTCTCGAACTCGTGGACTCAGGCGATCCTCCTGCCTGGGCCTCCCAAAATGTTGGGATTACAGGCGTAAGCCCCGGGGCACGGCCGGGTGCTGTTTATTTCATACCCACTCAGACTTCCTGGCCCTCAGGTGGGGAGCAGCGCGGCAGCCCGCAGGCGGGTCGGGGGGCTGCAGGCGGCCGCAGGAGGGGTGCGCGGCCAGGTGGCGGGGGGCTGCTGCGGGCTGCTCCTCCGATCCTGAGCCCCTGGGGTCCTGGACGGCCTCTCGGTGGGGCCTGCCCCGGGGCTCCGGGCCCAGCTTTTCGCTGGCGGAGGACGTCACCTCGCTCTCACCTTCATCCGGAATCCCCGCGCGCCGCGGCCCCCTGGATGGACCCCTGGGGCCGCCCGCCCCCGCCCCTGCGGGCCCCCAGTCGTCCTCCCGCCCACCCTCCTCCGCGTGGCCGCGGGCTCCGCTCTGCCTCCCGGGGGCGGCGCTCGGGGTCTCCCCGCGGGGTCCCGGCCTCCCGCGCATCCGCCGCCGCAGGCTGCACCCCAGGTCCGCGAGGCCCAGCAGGAAGGACAGCGCGCTGACCGCCCAGAGGAACAGCATCAGCAGGGACTTCTCCGTGGGCCGCGACACGTAGCAGTCCACCACGCCGGAGCACGGGGGCCGCGCGCACGCGAAGCTCTCGGGGGCCCGGAAGCCGAAGAGCAGGTAGTGCAGGGCCCCGAACGCGGCCTCCAGCAGCGTCCGCAGGAGCAAGTGCGCCACGTAGGCGGCCGAGCAGTCGGGCACGCGGAGCCCGCCGCGCTCCCTGCCGGGCCGGGGGCCGCGCCTCTGCGCGGGGGCCGGGGGTTCGGGGCCGCGGCGGGGGCCCAGCGCGGCGAGCGCGGCTCCTCGGTGCAGGACGTAGACGCCGAAGACGGCGGAGGGCAGGAGGACGCACACGGCCTGGATCAGCCAGAACCGCAGCGGGGACACCGGGGAGAACACGTCGTAGCAAACGTTGGCACACCCCGGCTGCAGCGTGTTGCACACAAACCTCTCCTGCTCGTCCTGGTAGACGGGGCGCCCCGCCACGACGATCACCAGCATCCGCAGCAGCAGCGTGAGGACCAGCCAGAGCTTCCCTGGAAGAGAGGAAGCACGCACGGCCTCGTCACCCCCGGGACACCGCCTTGAGCAACAGTTCTGGACTTTCTGTTGGGGCCGAGACTGCGGAACTGAGAAGCCAGTGAGCATGTCGCGAGTGTTCAGGCCGTTTGCGTTACTGTTGTTACACACAGCGTCGAGCTATGTTGCCCAGGCTGGTCTTGAACTCCTGGCCTGAAGTGCTCCTGCCGCCTTGGCCTCCTGAATAGCTGGGATTACAGGCATGAGCCGCCACACCTGGCGGCTTGTCTCTACCCACAGCAAGAGTATCAGGGAGTTAGTTCATCTGACAAATATTTATTGAGCACAGAACATTCTTGTTTGTAACATGCTTCCAGATGGGCAGATTTTTAAAAAGCATTATATTGAGAATGTTTTAATCTGACTGCTGATTCACACTTTTGGTAATGTCTCCTGGACTGACAGGTCCAGAGAGAAAGTTTGGCTGGGCAAATTAATAATTTAAATAAGATTTAAATTATCTACTTTGGAGAATAAGCCTCTTAAAAGACGTTGGCATATTCCTGTAACTGTGTGTAGCCAATTCGAGCTGCTGATTTCAGTAAATCCTCTTGACTTAGGATAACAGTCCAGGAATCTCTATTTAATCACAGCGCTTGTATTAATGTTAGTCTATGGCTCTTGAAATTGAATTTAAGAACGTTCCATTTTTCAGATTTTTTAATAATTCAGAATTTCTTTTCCGCTTTTCCAGTTACTAAGAATGAATGAGGCTCGTCTTTCTTCAGTTTTTCAGGAACGAATGATACCAAGCCAGGAAATGAAAATAACTACCAAGCCCTATTTTCATACTGTGGGCCAACTTTGAAACATGTTTAATACTCAGCCAAAATAACTTGTGAATATTGTGTTTTGTGATGAGATAGAGAAACATCGCCTGACGTCGGAAAAACAAAACTCTGTTATAAATAAAGACAATCAAACAAAGAATACTATCATGTGATTAAGTCACTTAGGTGAACTTTTAACACCAAGTTGATTTTGTCTAAATCCACAAAATAAATGAGCAAGAAAAGTATCAATCGCATCTCCGGCCTCTATTCATTCTTTTCTGACCCCCATACCTCTCTGAAAATGTGAGTCATCTGCATTAAACAAAAATCTATTCTTTGTTTAAAAAGCAACTAAACTTGGGAGTTGATTAAAAGAGCACAAGAGAAATGGCTGCTCCTTAAAAATTAAGCTGGCCGGTCACGGTGGCTCACGCCTGTAATCCCAGCACTTTGGGAGGCCGAGGCAGGCAGATCACAAGGTCAGGAGTTCAAGACCAGCCTGGCCAAGATGGTGAAACACCCGTCTCTACTAAAATACAAAAATTAGCCGGTCATGGTGGCAGGCACCTACAATCCCAGCTACTCGGGAGGCTGAGGCAGGAGAATCGCTTGAACCCAGGAGGTGGAGGTTGCAGTGAGCCTAGATTGTGCCACTGCACTCCAGCCTGGGCGACAGAGCGGGACTCTGTCTGAAAGAAAAAAAAAAAATTAAGCTTCCAGTATAAAGCCTAAAGGCATCACTTTCTCATTACCACGTGCTATTCTGCTCCTTTTCCTGGTAACATAGCCACGCCAGGGTTGCACAGAAGTCCCCCTCCACCTGCTTCGGTGCTCAGACTTAGCTCCCGGGTGTCAGCACAGGAGGCCTCTGAGAGCACAATGTCACACCCAGGGCTCCCTTACGTGACAGAGGAACCACGGAACCATTGGAAGAAACTAGAAGCCTCAGCTCTCTTTCCTCCAGAAAGGCACAAGCCGTTTCTTTTGGAAGTGGGTGGACTTTCAGTTTGGTGCCTGCAAACTGAAAATGAGGAAATACCTGGACCCTTTAAGAAGGACTGTTTGACCATGGCAAGGGAAACAAAAAGAGCGCAGGAGTTTGGAGACGGTCCCATACTCACCCACCACCGTCACGTTGCAGTTTAACGTGATGATGAGAAACCCCAGCACGTCCACGCCTTCCATGCTTCCAGAATGTCACAGGCTCGAGGCTGCCGGAGACTATGGAGGACTGTGTTCTCCAAGGAGGTGGAACAATCCTTGCCTGGATAAATGTCCTTTAACTCCAAAGACTTCAAGGTGTGAGCTGCAGATGGAAAGCGAAGGTTTGAGCCAGGAGTAGGAGGTGGGTTTTTCTGTCTCCAGGCTGAGACGGCCCTAAGCCGTTTGCCTCTGAGGCAGGACATTCCTGACAACTGCAATGACCAGCAGAGCAAACAGCAGTCATCTCTTATTATGGGCTATTCTTACCCCCCGGGATATTCCAGGCCTGTGGCAGTGCTCATATGTCCCCACCAGGACAGTCAGACGCTTCAGGATATAATAGCAGCAACTACTTTTAACCCAAGAAAGAACCCTTCCACTAACTAGCCAAGTCAGTTTCTCTGTTAAAAAGGCATCATTTCCACGACCACTTCACTTGTGCAAGAAGCCCTTAAAGTGTCTATGTTTTGTCTTCTCAATCAAGCATGAGTCACCATGCCACTGTCACACGAACCCATAGGATCTCGCGTTTATTCTGAATTCTTCTGTCACTGGTGTAGGCAGAAATCTGGATCTCAGCCGGGTGTCCCAACTCGAGACCATGGCTTGATTATTCTCCTGCTGCTTCCTGTGCGGTGAGTGACAGCTCTTCATCTGGAGGCAAAAGCCTGGGTGCAAAGCCCGGGGCCGCCCCTGTTCACTGGGGAAGTCACTGGATCTTTCCAGAGAGCCTCATCTTACAATAAGGAGAATCATGCCATTCCACTTGGCATGTGCGGGAGGCTTCTGGGAAATGACGGCATAAAATAAGAGCAGCTGGCATGAAGCAGGCACACGACAACCTGTGTCTGTGGATTTCAAGCCTCACTAGCCTCTGCAACCTTCACGGAATACATCTTCCCTTTGTATCCCAGGTCTGTCTAGCCTGGAGCTGTTCCCGTTGAATCTACTTAATAAACGTCTATTAAATTTGTCATGAAATATCACGGGCTGGACCTGCTGACATCAATCACAGTTGCATCAAAATCCTGTCCCTGCAGCCACCTTCATATCTGGGAAGAACCCATCGTGCAGGGTTGGGATGTATGATCAGGGTGGAAATTGTACACTTTAAAAGGAACGATTTCAATTTTCCATGAAAGCTATTCTTTACATCCCCATCTTTTCTTCATTTCTGATCTATTCTTGACTTTAGTAATGTCCCTAGAAAGATTCCCAGAAGACTGCAACAAAGCTACTTTCATCTTTACTCACAGGACACACTCCTGTCCACTGAAAACGATTTGACCCCCTTGAAAGGAACAGGCGTTTTGCTGCATTTTAGTCAAATGCTTCGACATGAGCAATGAAATTCGAGAAATTGTAGTTAAGTAAAAATACTGAAATAGTCATAGGGTATAAGTGTGAAATAAAGGAGAATTTCTTTGTCTCCTAATAGACTGCTCATGGTATGGGCTTTAAAAAATGAAATATCAGGAAAGCAATAACTGAATCTTGCTGTGTGATAGAAAGAGGCTGTCCCAAATGTGGAATAAATTAGCGCTGCATGACCATGAGCAAATCACGGAGCTTTTCATGCTTCGATTTTCTCATCCGTGAAGCAGAAAAAAAGAATGTATTCTTCACCCACGCACAGTGACTGTGACATGCAAAATATGACGAGAGATGTGAAAATGGTTTTGAAATGTAAAGAATGACCCAGTGTCAGTGACAGGCACATCTCAGGGCCGGCTCCTCTGGTCCCACCCTTCGGGGCATCTGCCCAGGAGCCCACGCCGCCCCCTCACCGCCCCCTCCCTTCCCGTCCTGGCCACTTTTGCTCTTCCTCCTGGAAGTCTACCCCGTCCCCATTCCGTGTCTTTTTTCTCTTTCTGCTTTTCTTTCTCCCTCCTGCTAGGTGACATTTTGCTTTATTTGGAAATCCTAACTCCGGCCAGGTGCGGTGGCTCATGCCTGTAAATCCCAGCACTTTGGGAGGCCAAGGCTGGTGGATCACCTGAGGTCAAGAGTTCGAGACCAGACTGGCCAACATGGTGAAACCCCATCTCTACTAAAAATGCAAAAAATAGCCAGGCATGGTGGCGGGCACCTATAGTCCCAGCTACTCGGGAAGCTGAGCCGGGAGAATTGCTGGAACCCGAGAGGCGGAGGTTGCAGTGAGCCCAGATCACGCCACTGCACTCCCACCTGGGTGACAGAGCAAGACTCCATCTCAAAAAAAAAAAAAAAAAAAAGAGAGAGGGAGAGAAAAGAAATCCTAACTCCAATGGCTACCTGAAGCTAGCTGGAGGTAAGGGAAGAAGAGAAGGTGGAGGTGTCTGGGCATCAGCTCCTGGCTGGCTGTAACCATCCCAACGCTGATGGGAAGGTTTCTCTAAGTGTCTGTAGAGTAGAGAGATGTGGAGAGAACTGTGTTCAACCCATGGCCAAAGAAACCAGCTGGGAGTCAGGGGCTCAAATATACAAGACGCCACACTGGGATAGTCCAGTAAACACAAGTGGACAGCACCGGGCCTGTGGCTCACATCCGTAATCCCAGCACTCTGAGAGGCTGAGGACGGAGGATCACTTGAGGCCGGAAGTTCAACACTGGCCTGGACAACATAGAGAGGCCTCATCTCTACAAAATCTGTTTAAATTAGCCAATAGTGAGCCATAACCATGCCACTGCACTCCACCTTGGGCACTGTATCTAGAAAAAAGAAAGAAAGCGTTAGCGGAAAGGAAACAGAACAGTGAGCCACATGGCACTCAGCGGTGGCTCACCTCTCTCTAGCGCAGTGACTTTGGCCAATTATTTAGGACTCAGTTTTGCCATCTATAAACTGGGGTAATGATACTAAACGTACGGGGTTGAGAAGTGGGGTTCATTTAAATAACGTTCTAGCACATTATCTGTCAGATAAGAAGCTCTCAAAAAAGGACGAGTTCAGTCAGTTCTCGTTATTCATAGTAGTTATGTTTTACAGAGTTACCACCAACACTGTAATGGTGAATGCCATGGTTTCCTTGGGGAAATACATGGTTAGGTGACGACACTTTCCCCGACCAGTTAGCACACTGCCTTACTTTCTGTGTGTTTCTGTTCAAATACACCTGATTTAATATATATTAATGCATTCACATGAAATCATGGCCCACAACACTGTCACTCACATATGAATGAAACTTTCTCTGCAAGCCCTGTCACCACCCTCCTGCACTGATGAGAACCAGCCAGCTCTCCTGCTTGGGGCCATTTTATTTTATTATTAAAAAAAAAAACGTTAGAGACAGGGTCTTGCTCTGTCACCCCAGCTGGAGTGCAGTGACATGATCATAGCTCACTACAGCCTGAACTACTCAGCTCAAGCCATCCTCCTGCCTCAGCCTCCCAAGTAGCTGGGACTGCAGGGTTGCATCACCAAGCCTGGCTAATTTTTTAGTTTTTGTAGAGATGGGGGTCTTGCTACATTGCCCAGTCTGGCCTCAAACTCCTGGCCTCATGCAATCCTCCTGCCTCAGCTCCCTAAAGTGCTGAGGCCACAGGTGTTGGCCACTAAACCCATTGGGGACCACTTTAAATGGCAAAATCACCAACCAAAAGCACAAAAGTGCAAAAAACATGGCACTAACAAGAGCTTGGGAGACAGCACTCATTGACCCTGTGAGAGCAGAAACAAAAGGCAGGGCGGCCCCTGCTTCTGAGGGCACGTGTGTCGGCCACACACACTTCCCACTGCTCTGCGCGTGTCCGAAATGGTGGAGAAAGCCCACTGAGTATTGGTTTGGGGATTATGAATAAATTTTAGCAAGTAGATGAATTCGAAAATAAGAAACCTGTGACTATGAGGACTGACTGCACTGAATAGAAGGATCAAGCAACGAGAAGAGCAGCTGAATCCCAGGAAGGGCCACTTCAGAAGAGACACGGGTCCCTAGGAACCCAGGACTCAGAGTCACAAAAGCTCAAGGAGGGTCCGACTCCGGCTTCAGTGAGAACACCGCCGCTGATATCTGTGTTGTCTTTTATGCTGTGGCCAAGACTCCCCTTGGATAAAGGATTCCATATCTGAAAAAGGAATGTTAGAAAAGTGATGGTCTCCATTAGAATTATTATGGGAGGCAGCTTGATATCAAGGTGAAGGGCACAGGCTCTGCGGTCGGCCCACCTCAATTAAAACTCCAGCTTCTTGACTGTGTGATTGTGGGGCAGTCACTTAACTCAGCATCTTCACTGTAAAATCACGGTTCCCTACCCACTACAATGATGGCAAGGAATACATGGGAAAATGCCAAAATCATAGAGAATGGTGCCCTGCCAATAACGTGTACCAATCACTGGCTTTTCACTTTTTTTACCTGCCAAGAATGGTATACCAGGGAACATGCAGGAGGCTTGGGAAGGCTTATTCTCGACGATGGGTGCTCCAGGGCTCTCAACTTCTAGCCCAGAAACCTGATGGGAAAAGAGCTTCCAGGGAGATAGAGTTCACTTTCAGGAGGGTTAGGAAATGATGGCATCTGTTTTGTTTTGCTGTGTGTGTGTGTGCGTGCATGTGTGTGTGTGTTTAAGGAATCATTTATCTGATTTGAGAAATGCATGTTTTGGTTGTTATCAAGATGTAAATGACTTTTCCAGCACTAGACAGAAAGCAAATATTTAGCAGCTGCACCAACAAAACAATTTAATCATGCCTATAGTTGCATCTCATCTGCATATGCAAATCAACCCAAAAATAGATTATACTACGTTCCTGTCAGTCTAGTTTCCCACTGGCACAGGTCTGTAGGGTGAACCAGGTCAGTGCTGTTCCACCCCCAGCCTCACCCACAGACTCCAACCCCCACAAGATTTAGAGCTAAAAAATTAACCACAGAGACAAGGAGGAAATTTTCTATTTTCTTCAGCTGAGTCTTTCCCTGCTCTTAAAGTCCCAAAAACTGTCATTCTTGGACTGCATTTTCTTTTTCTTTCTTTCTTTTTTTTTTTTTTTTTTTTTTTTTGAGATGGAGTCTCGCACTGTCACCAAGGCTGGAGTGCAGTGGCACAATCTCAGCTCACTGCAACCTCCGCCTCCCAGATTCAAGTGATTCTCCTGCCTCAGCCTCCTGAGTAGCTGGGACTACAGGCATGTGCCACCACACCCGGTCGTTTTTGTATTTTTAGTAGACATAGGGTTTTATCACTTTAGCCAGGGTGGTCCCGATCTCTTGACCTCGTGATCTGCCCACCTTGGCCTCTCAAAGTGCTGGGGTTACAGGCTTGAGCCACCACGCCTGGCCTAGACTGCATCTTCAGCTCCAGTTTAACTCAATTGCACAGCTTCCCAATGTCTTCTCTTTACCAGGACAGCATTCACAGTGCCCCCTGGAATTTGTTTTTGAGGTAGTTAGGCTGGTTCTT